GAGTCGTAGCAGCAAATTTTGCCATGAAACTGGGAGAAATAACTGGAAACCAGTTTAAGAATTTAAGCTTCAAGTTTAATCACAAACGGTCTGAAGAAAGGTCTCCTTCCGAAATTAAGTGCTTATACACGACTGGAAGAAACACCGGTTCCTTTTGCAACGAACTGCATTCTTTCAGGTGCTTTGAACTTGGGAAATTTTCATGTAGTGCATTAAGGCCGCCCAGTGGATCATGCGACTTATATATTTCTATTTTTTACGGAAGCCTTTCTATTGGTTGTTATACTAGCACAGAATCACTACTCTTGTATCACTGAGAAGTTCATTTGTAATGCGTTTAATACGAATGAATATTTGTCACAAATACGTTTGTCTAATAACAAAGAATTTTTTCACAGTTGCTTTCACGTAATCCATTCTCACAACTTCACACGTTTCTGAAGTTATTTTGAATAGACTAAGAACAGATGTACAAAATATCAATTTTAGATCTTCGTGCTAATGTTGCTAAAGGTCGTATTTCAACTAACGGGCGTTCTTCACTGCTGTAGATTTTCCCATAACCCTATCCTTTTCTTAACCCTTAATTTAGAGTTTTTTCTCTGACTGTCTTTCTTATTGCAGTTTAAGTGCATATATGTGAGTCTAAGAATAATTGTAATACTTATCAAAACTCTTTAGAATTGATTAAAGTTTCTTTCGCTTTAAGACAAGAAGGTGCCTGTTTAGTTTAAAATAAAGGAGTGGTGCATTTTGAGTCATCTTACCTGTGTCACGACGCTTCTGGCTTAGCAGTTCTGCCACGCGTGTAGCCCCATTCTGTATCGCGTCAACCAGAACAGCAAATTGCCCCGTCATGTGAATTATGAGGCCAACAAGTGTGATATTGACGGTCGTCGTAAACGCGAAATATATGGACATGGTGATGCATTCATAGACCGCAGTCACTTCGAAATAAGGACTTTCAATTGCTTTAAATGGGAACCACATTTTTATAGATGAGTCTCTTCGTATGTTTTTAATTTCTTCAGGATCGGCAATAAGTTCCAGATTTGGTCGTGGTGGCATGTTGGCAGCTAGAGACACCTGTGTTATGAAAAATGAAATCCAGACGTATTTTGCAATTCTTTTCGACAAGTTCACATACTTTTCAACTAACGATCTTTCTGAATTTGTAGGAGTTATTCCTTGGATGTAGTTGTTGTTTTCAATTTTAGCAAGAAGGAGAAGAATTCTTTTACGGTATATAATTAGAGTTCCAAGTTTCACAGCGTTTTTCAGGTGGGATATTAAGAAGATAAAGCAATTGCCAGCCCTTTGTACGTTATCCATTGAAAGATACAGTTCTACTGCCGTACCCAGGAAGTACTGAACGACCAGACTTGTTGTAAAAACCTGTTTAATTATATCCATTGCTTTCTCCCACGGTGTTCTCTTAACAGAGTCATCCAATAAAATCCCATAATATTTAAATATCTTTAAGTTAATTTCAAGAATGTTCTGTTTCCTAAGTTTTTCCGATAATTTCTGGAAAAACATTCTTCTTTGTAGATTTCTGTCTTCTTTGTGTTCCGTTTTTTGAGTGCACCTCTGGGAATTTATTTTTACACTACCAATTTATATTCCAAATTGTTATTAAGTTGTGAATGTTTTATTCGAATGTAATAACTTTTACTGCAGTCGATATTCCATATATATATATATATATATATATATGGAATATCGACTGCAGTAAAAGTTATTACATTCGAATAAAACATTCACAACTTAATAACAATTTGGAATATAAATTGGTAGTGTAAAAATAAATTCCCAGAGGTGCACTCAAAAAACGGAACACAAAGAAGACAGAAATCTACAAAGAAGAATGTTTTTCCAGAAATTATCGGAAAAACTTAGGAAACAGAACATTCTTGAAATTAACTTAAAGATATTTAAATATTATGGGATTTTATTGGATGACTCTGTTAAGAGAACACCGTGGGAGAAAGCAATGGATATAATTAAACAGGTTTTTACAACAAGTCTGGTCGTTCAGTACTTCCTGGGTACGGCAGTAGAACTGTATCTTTCAATGGATAACGTACAAAGGGCTGGCAATTGCTTTATCTTCTTAATATCCCACCTGAAAAACGCTGTGAAACTTGGAACTCTAATTATATACCGTAAAAGAATTCTTCTCCTTCTTGCTAAAATTGAAAACAACAACTACATCCAAGGAATAACTCCTACAAATTCAGAAAGATCGTTAGTTGAAAAGTATGTGAACTTGTCGAAAAGAATTGCAAAATACGTCTGGATTTCATTTTTCATAACACAGGTGTCTCTAGCTGCCAACATGCCACCACGACCAAATCTGGAACTTATTGCCGATCCTGAAGAAATTAAAAACATACGAAGAGATGGTTGTTATACTAGCACAGAATCACTACTCTTGTATCACTGAGAAGTTCATTTGTAATGCGTTTAATACGAATGAATATTTGTCACAAATACGTTTGTCTAATAACAAAGAATTTTTTCACAGTTGCTTTCACGTAATCCATTCTCACAACTTCACACGTTTCTGAAGTTATTTTGAATAGACTAAGAACAGATGTACAAAATATCAATTTTAGATCTTCGTGCTAATGTTGCTAAAGGTCGTATTTCAACTAACGGGCGTTCTTCACTGCTGTAGATTTTCCCATAACCCTATCCTTTTCTTAACCCTTAATTTAGAGTTTTTTCTCTGACTGTCTTTCTTATTGCAGTTTAAGTGCATATATGTGAGTCTAAGAATAATTGTAATACTTATCAAAACTCTTTAGAATTGATTAAAGTTTCTTTCGCTTTAAGACAAGAAGGTGCCTGTTTAGTTTAAAATAAAGGAGTGGTGCATTTTGAGTCATCTTACCTGTGTCACGACGCTTCTGGCTTAGCAGTTCTGCCACGCGTGTAGCCCCATTCTGTATCGCGTCAACCAGAACAGCAAATTGCCCCGTCATGTGAATTATGAGGCCAACAAGTGTGATATTGACGGTCGTCGTAAACGCGAAATATATGGACATGGTGATGCATTCATAGACCGCAGTCACTTCGAAATAAGGACTTTCAATTGCTTTAAATGGGAACCACATTTTTATAGATGAGTCTCTTCGTATGTTTTTAATTTCTTCAGGATCGGCAATAAGTTCCAGATTTGGTCGTGGTGGCATGTTGGCAGCTAGAGACACCTGTGTTATGAAAAATGAAATCCAGACGTATTTTGCAATTCTTTTCGACAAGTTCACATACTTTTCAACTAACGATCTTTCTGAATTTGTAGGAGTTATTCCTTGGATGTAGTTGTTGTTTTCAATTTTAGCAAGAAGGAGAAGAATTCTTTTACGGTATATAATTAGAGTTCCAAGTTTCACAGCGTTTTTCAGGTGGGATATTAAGAAGATAAAGCAATTGCCAGCCCTTTGTACGTTATCCATTGAAAGATACAGTTCTACTGCCGTACCCAGGAAGTACTGAACGACCAGACTTGTTGTAAAAACCTGTTTAATTATATCCATTGCTTTCTCCCACGGTGTTCTCTTAACAGAGTCATCCAATAAAATCCCATAATATTTAAATATCTTTAAGTTAATTTCAAGAATGTTCTGTTTCCTAAGTTTTTCCGATAATTTCTGGAAAAACATTCTTCTTTGTAGATTTCTGTCTTCTTTGTGTTCCGTTTTTTGAGTGCACCTCTGGGAATTTATTTTTACACTACCAATTTATATTCCAAATTGTTATTAAGTTGTGAATGTTTTATTCGAATGTAATAACTTTTACTGCAGTCGAAATTAGCGTAAAATGCTTAATCGTGAATATAAACGAAATTCTTAATCCAACAAATAATGATCTGTGTTAAGTCAACTATTGCAGTGCTAAGCAGATTACGTCTTGGTATTCTTGCTACCGCTTTTATTCTGTGACTTCTGGAATGTTTCTGTCAAGATCCTTGCCTGTATTTGAAGTGACTCATATGCATATTTCCACACTTCTTTCGTCGTCAGTACTCATTTATTAGTTCTTTGCTTAAGAAACACGTTAAAATTGAATTTAAAACTCGTAATTTGATAGAAGAAAACCTACGTATCACGTCCTTAGAGCATCTATAGTTTCCTTAAGTTCGTTGCATGTACGAAATTGTTATCTACACCACAGTAATCATTGTGCGAAATTATTAATTTATTTACAGGATGACAGACTTAAAAGAAAGTTAACCTGTTTAGTGCTTTAACAGTTCAAATCACAGTGGAAGCAGTGCTGGGTAGACCATGCACTGGGGAAAGATTAATATAGGCCTAATACTTTAGCATTTTCTTTAAATATTTCCAAGGAAAGGATTTCAGAGCCCATTTAACTAATATCATATTCATTTCTTTTCACTATAACAAGAAGAAGAAAACTAATGGAATTTCTCATATGTTTATGTAAGCATTGTTTGTAAAAATCGTGTTCATTGTTATCTGTCCATCTTTCTGTCCGCATGTTTCGTTTCCCTAATTGTTTTACCGGTTTTTCGAGAAACTGGTAGCACAGAATATGGGCCTATTACATAATTGCTTTTAATCTAAGTAGATTATTCACCCGTCAGTGTAGAAATCTATTCTCTATCTGCAAATATATTTGTCTTCCTATATATCTCACAATTTTTGTGTGTAGGATTTGAGGTTTTCACGGCGGTAAGTCTGAAGGTGGCTGTCTTCTGGGCTGTTGCGCAGTGCAGTCTGGTAGAAGATCACCGACATTTCAGAGGTCCTTGCTGTCTCCATCATCAGGGCGACCTCTGAAACGTCGGTCAACTTCTGCCAAACAAGTAATAAAAAACTTCTTAAAGAAAATTATGGGACAGGCAGGAGAGAGGAAATGGAGGATATCTGACGGAAAGTAGACGAAACGCTATTATAATTTATAATTTTTATTTACTGACGTCTTTTTGACGGCATTGGTTGTATAGCATCCTTGGAAAGGAACCTGTATTCAGTGCCTTTCCGTATTCTATACAAGCTTATACAAATAAGCATGATGAAGTGAGTTGTGCTGTAAAGACGCGACAAAACATTTTATCAAGGCAAGAAATTTGACCCTCGAAAGCCCGGTAGTAACTATATGCACTTCTTGGTTTAACAGTTAGTAAATGGTAGATTTCGTACGGTTGGTACGAAAGGGATTATGTCAAACAGTACAAACAGTTCTATCTTTGCAATGGTGTGGCGTGTGTGTGTATGTGTTTTAAGTACTGACTGATTTTCTGAATATAATTTAGACGAACTTCGTCTCCATTTACTTATTTCGTGCTTGTATTTTTTAAACGTGGCTGATGTGGTTGCACTCGAAAATGGTGTTGGCCTACGGCCTGATTCAGTTCACCAAGTTTCTCCAGAATCTCCTCTTTACTTCTCATGAAACTGAGTTAGTACTGTGAAGTAAGAATAAGCAGAGTTCAGGATCTGAAACATAACATAATATAATAATAGTAGCGTAATTTGGTGTTCAGAATGTAAGCCTGCCCTGCAGTATAACCATAGCTACTAACCGCCCGAACAGAAGGTGGATGATTTGGTTGCTCAGAGCAAGGATTTTGCTTGATATCAGTTAAACCTAAAAGGATCAATTAGTTTTTGTTTCTGTTCTTCTCCTCTTTCCGTTGATGCCTTCAAAATTTAACGTTATTTGTGTTTTGTTCCTTTTTATTTTTAGTTAAGTGGTAATCTGTTGCTGTCTACGGGTTGTTGTATCAGAAAGACAATTCTGTTGCATTATGTAATTAGTCTGAGTTAATGTGGTATTGAAAGACGATGGATTATAATAATTTTGAGTACCCTAGCAAACAGCTCCATGGATAAGGTTCCAAAGGGCCCCACTGACAGTGCAACCGGACGCTGAGCCCTCATGATGATAAATCTCAGTGAGCGTTGGAAGCTGATAGGCTTACTGCACCATCTACAATTGTACACCCCTTCACCAACCATCTCACTCTGAAAACAAACAACATAACACAGCAATGCAGTTTCCTGGTCAAACGAAACATATTTAAACCCCTTTTTTGTGATCATCTCGTTTCTTTTGAGAACATAAACTAAATATATGCACCCACATTTTCCACTTATTAATAAAGAAACCAAAATATTTTTCTACTTCTCAGGATAATAGCCTACCAGACTTTTCGTCTTCAGGCATAATATTTACGAACTCTTAGAGGTACATCTTTCCTGAAACCGTTTCTGATTTATCTATTGATGTCTCACGACCTTCTGTCCTTGAAAAATGAAGTTTTATTCCCTAATACCGTCGTTCTTTGTCCTGCCCAAACGACACATCTTTCAATTCTCTCCCAACACAACGCATTTACCACTTACTCTAGTCTGTGAACATTATTTTATAACGTAACAACTTCAAACTGTCTTACTTCTAGTTAATTTTCTTGTTTTTGTTATATATAGAATGTTTCTATATTAGACGTACCAGTTTCACAGTTTAGTCTTGCGTTGTGCATCCAAAAACAATGACAAGATAATTTTACATGAGGCCGCAGATTCTTGGTGTACGAAGTTAGGGTTCTTTTTACATGCTGGAATTTCATGGAGAAAGCGCCTTGTCATCGTACCTACTGGCCTTACGCACTTGGCATGGCTGACTGCACAGTGGTGGCGTATGCTATTATTACTGAAACGTAGTCCGCAAACACCCAAACACCATTAGAATTGAACCATATGGCATTAGTTAGTCGTTATCTAACTACACTGCCTTTCCATCTGGCTATTAAGGCTGGTTAGCAAGGTCTGAGACCTGTCAGATATACGAATGGAGGCCGATTACAAGTTACGTCACAGCTCGATTATTTTGATCCAGCCTCTGGCCTGTACGAGAGCGGAAAGAACATTTTAATGGGGCGGAAGTGACATTTATCTTCCATTTTCGTACACAAGGAGAGGTAGTGAAAAAGCTGATGTAGGATCTGTTGGAAAATACTATCATTAGTTTTATTGATTTATTCTGCATAAATTACAACTTTAAGCAAATATACTTTTTGACTCACGTCTGTTCTTAGCATTTCAGAGCCTTTCAGTTTAAATAGTTTAGACGGCTTCAGTAGGGCTCATTGTTGAATACCGATTCATTGTTGTCGTACTAATCCCCCCCCCCCCCCCCCCCGCGCTTGCTGTTTTCGTACAAATCAGACTGACTAACACTTTCACACACATCGTGCGAGTATACCCAAATATTCCCTGCGTGGCCAAAACACATTGGTCTTCATAAAATATTTTGACTGTACGACAGCGTTTATAATTTCGGTACATTTTGGTTTCATCTGTTTGCTTAATTACCTGCAACGAGAGTTTCGATGCGAACCAACACGTGAGCCCCGTCTCCATGATGCTGTATAAAAGGCCGGCTACGTATCTTAACAGCATCACTTTGTCCGTTGTACGCTGTTGATGTAAGAAACGAAAATTGTTTCATGTAATCAACAAATACAGAGATAGTGCATCACTTAAAACAGTGCGTGAGATATTAGAATCGACTTTACGAAATTTCCGAATGTTTCAATGATATTTTACTCCTTTGTTTGTAGGAGTGTTACGTTCGTGTATTGTAGATACAAGTCTGTTGTTGACAGGTTTCATCACAATTACTGGTTCATGTTCGGTTTGCTTAGGTTATGTTAATTACGCCGCAAGAACTTTACTGTATAGCATGCAGACAACTGGTCCTACTGCTCATGAAACACATTTTATACCCAGTATATTTTTCCATAAGTCTTACTGATTCTTATGTCTAGTCATCTCACAAATCGAGATACAATGGACTGATTTCTATCAATGTTATGTCCGCCCATTCGTTTGTCTGTCAGCTTTTAACCACCCTTTGCCGAATCGCTCATAAGTGATCATAACTGGCATTCTAATTTAGAGACAATAAGGGATAGAACATACCAGAATTTTTACTCTTGTGTGACACTAACCGTTATGTAAAAGCCGTCAAAGCCAAATATGACCACAGCAGACAGGATCCTCATGAACATAATGGGGCTTAGCACTGCATTCAGCTTCTCTGAGGATCTGCAACCAAAGCATTGAGGGGTGAACAGTTTTGATACTTTATGCTAATTAAGGCTATAATTAAGTTTAACTTTTTAGAACTAAGATTTGAGGTTTTAACGGTGGTGAGTACGTATTTAGCTTTTCCTCCATCATCAGGACCTCTGAAACGTTGGTAAACTTTACCAGACTACAAGGCGCAACAACCCAGAAGACAGACATCTTAATTTCTTCTTATGTTTCGCTTGCATGCTGAGTAGCTGACTTTGTCTACGTAATACAAATGCAAACGGGTGAACCAAATTAATACTCACTTCAGAAGTTTCCGATGATGTTCTATGTACTGTCTTAAGTCAAGTTTTGCCTCATTACGAAACTTCAGACTTTCTGCGGATTTGTCTCTCTTCTTCCTTTTTGAATCTTTATTCTTGGAATCAACTGAGTCTGGCGTTTTCAAGTCATCGACTCCGATTCTGGAAGAAAGAAATATTGTGAACCGCTTTCAGAAATTCAGAAATTTATAGGCAACTTCTTGTTGCTATTTCTCGTAGTCAGGCATATATTGTAAATAGAAAGTCAGTAAGTATTTATATTTAAATATTATTGTGATATGTGACATTATTTGTTTTAAGCTTCCACATCTTTCTCGCAATGCCTGTGGATATTTACACAAAATTGGGTGAACATTTTTGTCTCTCTGAAGTATAAGCGACTCTTAAGAACGTCTGCTAGAGGGTGATTCCCTCCGGTTGTGAGACCATCAGACTATAAGTAAAGAGGATCCACTTTAGTGAATAAAAGTTATGAAGTTATTTACCTTTGTTGGTCAAGACTTTCCCATTTTTCTTCATTAAGCGAAGATTTAGATTTTTTGGGCCCTATCGGTTCTGTAAATTAATCGAAATTTATTAATTAAACAAGCAACTTTCTCCATACAGCATAGTCCCTCTTGAGAATCTAACAATCAATCAGCTAGTTAAAAAAATTATCGAATTTTATGGAACCATAAAGTTCTCATATGATCCATTTTAATATTATGCTCCTGTCTTCGCATAGGTCTTCCGAGTGGTATCATCCTTTCATCATTTCCAGACAATTTCGTACATATATCTCATTTTCCGTATACGTACTATGTACTCCACCCATCTCATCCTCCTTTATTTGACCATACTAATAATATCAGATGGTGATTATAAATTATGAGGCTTCCCATTACGTAGTTTTCTCCAGTCACTCGTCATTTCATCATCCTAGGGGTCTCTTCAATATCACGAGACCTGTACATATAAATGCTACAAAGGACAGAGTAAGGCTGACTTTTGCCTTTCCCAGGTTTCACTCACTGGAAGACGTTGCTTTCCTTTGTTTACGCTTTCGTTTGTATGTTTACGACTTTGTTCGGAAGATTTCAGATGTACGAGTTCGCGTTCGGATGACGATCGAAATGGAGAGTATGCTCTTCATTATAAAAGTTCTTATTAATTGAAGTTTCTTAACGCTAATCTTCGTAAAACGAGGATTGGATGTAGAGACGACGTTTAGAATTCGTAGTGCTTAACAGAAGATTACTTGGTAATACTACATAACCCGTGCACTCGTTATGCACAAGTTATACTTAGCTTAATGATTTATTAAATTATACCAGAGAAAATTGACTCATACCTGTGTTCGTAACATCGCCCGTTTCATTTGTGAGATTCTCGATGCATTCAGCCAGCAGATTGAAATGACCGGCGAAGAATACAATAAGCATTAATGTCAGCAAGTTAATTGTTGTGAACATTATGAAAAATATAGTGACACTTATCATTTCATAGATTATATCCAGTTTTAAATACGGATTGTTCAACTTCTGAAACGGAGTCCAGACTTTATATGCAGTGTTTCGCCTGCCCATAACTTGACTATCAAATTCATTTGCATGGTTTTCCACGGAAACGTTAAACGTCGGGACTAACTCAAAAAATACTGAACTCAGTGTTAGCACAAAACTTACCCACATGAAACGTGCTAGTCTGTTAGCCGTTTGCACGTAACTGTCAAAAATAGGTATTTCCGTTTTACCCAGTGGTTTCCCATTCATGGAGAAATTGACTTCTGCAGATTTTATTAAATCGAGAAAGTTTTTCCCAGAGAAAATTAGTGCGTAAAGCTGCATTGCTCCTTTCACATAAGATAGAATAAGCCCCAGAGATTCGAACTGATGTGACTCGTCATTTGAGATGAATAGCTCTATTACTGAACCAAATATAAATTGAATATGTATGAAAATGGTAAAATACATAATTCCTTTGCGTAATACATGACCATGTCGATTTGTAATCAAAGAATTGTCAAGCAAAAGACCAAATGTTTGAAGTACTCGAACGTTGAAACGAAGAATCGGTATCTGTAATTTTTCTTGTAAGTACGACCTACTCATTATATACAGAGATCTGAATTTCAAATTCACTTAATAGATAATTAGGACTGATTTCACTCGATTGAAATTTGATTACAGTTTGAGTCTTATATTTCTTTGTGTAATACTTTCTTAAAACGCTGTTACAGAATTCAGTTTTCTAACGAACTCTTTCCTTGGGTGAAACAAGTATTAGTCCCGCAGGTGCCCATTTCAGTTGAGAAATGACGACTTTTCACATACCATCGCAGTGTCGACTTTTCGAACAAAACGAAGTAACCTGCTAATGCAAACTTTATAACACCTCATACATATATAAAGAGCCTATGTAATTCTCGAAATTCGAATTGCATATTGCATGTGCAATTGTGTTCCAGCATTTTGCTATGTTTCCTGTCCTACATTTTGTATTTTCAAATTGAACTGATGGGCGTTAGCACCAGGTAGAACAAATAGCTTTCAGTCTTAAAAGCTTCATCTGGCAGCTTTCCTGTTTCCGGAATTTTATAGTACAAAATTGTCTTTCACTCTCTACATCTTATAGAATGTTTCTTAGGCAACCGTTATTTAACTTATAAAAGAATTCCTTGTAAATTCCGAATAACCGACCAGGTCTGTGTAGCGGCAACACTCCAAACTTTATTCAGGATGTACGCGATTCGAATCTCAGATCCGGTTCCGAATTTCCGGAGTTTTGTCGTGGTTCAGTCTCCTTAAACAAACAACGGAACGCGCTTCCTACATTAATCTCCCATTTTATCTTTTTAATTTAATTTCCGTAACATTTTTACATAAAGAGTACAAATTGTGAAGCTCCCACTTACGTAATTTTTTCAACCATCCTGTTACTTTCTCCTTCTTAAGTTCAAATATTATTTTCCTTAGCGCAATGTTAATAACGTTCTATATTGTTACATTGCAATTATTGTGTTATGTCTATACTGTAGGCTATAGTGTCTATTCACAGGATTATTAGTGAATAATGAATTGGAAGGGATGTGCAAGGAAACGGTCATGGATTGGCTTAAGATACTATCCTTGCCTGGACGGACTGAGAAATGTCTCGAAACCCTCAATCAACATAGCAGGTCTGCGAGCGGAGATCTGAACCAGGGACATATCGAATACTAGCAGATGTGCTACTCGACGTTTAGTGACATTGTATATAATAAGTATTGTTAACTCATTGTGTGTTACATGTTATATATCCTGGGTGTTTCGTATTATTATATATTACGTTGTATTTATATATATTTTTACATTATGAAATAAAAAATAATAATTTTAATAAAATAATCTAATAGAATATATTATTTTTCGCTTGGACTTTTATACGTAATGGAAATAATTCTCTCTTGCGAGCAGTCTGTAGCACGTATTGAATTTTCTGTAAGTTTCTTTTCTTAACAATTTTCTCTCATGTTTTTTCTTCAGAATGCTTAAATATATTAAAGATAAACCTCGTTTTAGACACTTATTAAAAAGAATATTTTCCTTTGTGTAATTGAATTTTTTCTGAAGTGTATTCGCTGAAATAATAATTATTCTCTTTTATTCTCTTTTTTGTGGATTTATCGGTTCTTAAGTTCGGTTAGTAATAAAATGTTGAACACAATAATTCTTACATTGTGAATGCGTCTTAAACTTCCATGCGGCAGAAAATTGATCACCTGGCCCAGCTAAATTTGCTACACTAAATAATATACGTGAAACGAAATGTCTTGAAGTGCTAAAAGAGAATTTAAAATCAAGTATTTCTTGAAGGGTTTATATAATCGTAGCAAAGAATAGATTTACTTTCTGTTGTCAGTTTTAGCTGCAATAAACTGGCTCGTAACGGAGCCCATCTTTAGCAGGGAGGTGCTTTTGTAATGATGGTGATGAGCTTTCGGCTTCCA